ATAGTTATAATGGTCAGGGTTAGTTGGTCAAAATCTAGGACGAGGCTCACCTGTACAAATGAATGGGAAGCGGACTCTCTCTTATGGGGGACTCTCTGTCACGTTACATCGACCATCTCATCTGCTGGTTGTCACCGTTACAGCTTCTCCTCCTAGACTACAAGAGCCTGTATACCCTTCTCTTGGATTTAGGTCACATATAATCTCAACTCAATCCACATAAATTTTGGACTTTGTCAGTTGTAGTCCCGACCCATCTCATCTGCTCGTTCCTCCATATAGTTATAATGGTCAGGGTTAGTTGGTCAAAATCTAGGACGAGGCTCACCTGTACAAATGAATGGGAAGCGGACTCTCTCTTATGGGGGACTCTCTGTCACGTTACATCGACCATCTCATCTGCTGGTTGTCACCGTTACAGCTTCTCCTCCTAGACTACAAGAGCCTGTATACCCTTCTCTTGGATTTAGGTCACATATAATCTCAACTCAATCCACATAAATTTTGGACTTTGTCAGTTGTAGTCCCGACCCATCTCATCTGCTCGTTCCTCCATATAGTTATAATGGTCAGGGTTAGTTGGTCAAAATCTAGGACGAGGCTCACCTGTACAAATGAATGGGAAGCGGACTCTCTCTTATGGGGGACTCTCTGTCACGTTACATCGACCATCTCATCTGCTGGTTGTCACCGTTACAGCTTCTCCTCCTAGACTACAAGAGCCTGTATACCCTTCTCTTGGATTTAGGTCACATATAATCTCAACTCAATCCACATAAATTTTGGACTTTGTCAGTTGTAGTCCCGACCCATCTCATCTGCTCGTTCCTCCATATAGTTATAATGGTCAGGGTTAGTTGGTCAAAATCTAGGACGAGGCTCACCTGTACAAATGAATGGGAAGCGGACTCTCTCTTATGGGGGACTCTCTGTCACGTTACATCGACCATCTCATCTGCTGGTTGTCACCGTTACTGCTTCTCCTCCTAGACTACAAGAGCCTGCATACCCATCTCTTCGATTTAGGTCACACATAATCTCAACTCAATCCACAAAAATTTTGTACTTTGTCAGTGCACATGCCTAGGTGTGGCACACATTGAAACACACCCTTGTCAAAATGTTTGTTGCCCTACATATATCAAAGAGTACAACCTCACAATATTCAGTGGCGAAAATAATGTGAAATAATCCCAAAATTAGCAGAGATATACCCATAGTGACTTTTGAACTTCAATAGGGTGTCATATATTGGTAATCGTACTGTGACCTGGAACTTTGATCAACTTTTCACCATGAACTGCACTTTGCAAATTTTTTTACCTTTATATAATATCCAAAACTGGCAGAGATATGCCCATAGTTACTATTAAACTGGAAAAGGAAATCATATATTTGCAAACTAACTGACCTTGAATATGACCTTTGATCAACTTTTCACCATGAAGTCCACTTTGCAAAATTCCAACCCTTTTATCTCCGTAAATGGCAGAGATACACCCATAGTTACTATTGAACTTAAATAGGAAATCATAGTTTGGCAATCTTTGACCTTGAATTTTACCTTTGACCTACTTATCACAATGAACTGGACCTTACAAATCTCCGACCCTTATATCTCCAAAACTGGCAGGGATATGCCTATTTGAACTTAAATAGGAAGTCACATATGCACATATTGGCTATCACCTTAAATTTGACATTTGACAAACTTTTTACCATGAACTTCACTTTGCAAATATTTCAACCCTTATAACTCCAAAACTGGCAGAGATACACCCATAGTTGCTAATGAACTGGAAAAGTGAGTCATATCTTGGCAATCTTACTTTGACCTTGAATTGACTTTGACATACTTTTCATTTCATCTTGAATTTAACCACAGCATGCCCATAACAAATATTTCAATATGTTCAAACAGACTACCAGTGCCAAAAAAGAATTCCACTATAAACATTTCCTCTAAGTGCCAATGCTTTTACATGTCCACTTCTCCTACCCCCCCCCCTCTTTCAAGTTACTGCCTCAAAATCTAAAAACCCAATCTCTATAAATTCCCTAATTACACATTTCAGTGTTTTGTCAATTACTCCTAACTAACATCAATCAACATACTCCAACAAACCACAACTACTCAAAACTCAGCAATCACAATTCCAAACACTAAATTAAATACATTCAAACATTTTTTGTCACCACTAATAAATATATTCCCACTTCCACCTTATGCAATATAAACCATCTACCTTCAATGAACAAAATGGACAAAACTATAGCCTGTATACATTTACTACTGTTACAAAAAGTTGCATATGTATTAAAAACAATCATACATTAAATGCCTTTATCTACACGTGAATTTAAACTATTCTACTTCTCCCCATAAAGCACTGTACCCACTTCCAACCCTACTTCAAAACTTATACACACAAATCCATACCTTCCCTTCGATTTAAATACGCTTACTTCCACTGGTGGTGCATTATCAGGAGGCGGTATCACCTCTCTGGTTTTTAAATATGTCCACACCTCATAGTATAAAGAGGAGTGTGATCCATTGATTTGAGTGAGAAAAGTAAGGAAATGACTCCTATTTGGAAAATATTGTGCACAGCAAATATTGTGGCATTGTTACTATTTCAACATCGTGTTTACCCCTTTTGGGGATGATATTGGGTATTCCCCCCAGGTCGGGATATCAGTTGGATTATTCACTAGGGCCTGGTATGTACGTGTTCAGAAATGTTAATCTCTGCATTAAAAGTACACCCCTATTAAAGTTAATTATAGGGGTTTAAAACTTAAATCGTTGGGACTCAGCAGGGATAAATACTACTCTTACTCGGCCTAAATCTACTCAGCTCACTTTTACCCACCCACTGTGAGCAGGACATCATCATCAATAGAAAAGTGCTCCTGTACTTTCATTTAAATAAACAGGGTAATGCACCTGATAAACAGGGTGAAAATGCCGACCTTTGTGAGTCGGAACAATAGCAGCTCGCAGATGGCGTTGCTTATTTCTTAGTTAAATGCTCTCAAATTGCCTTATACTGTTCAAGAACCATGAAGAAAAAGACAATTACAGAGATTCCTTGAATATTCCCTCTTTTTACAATACGTTTTTTTTTTTTTTTTTTTTTTTTTTCTATAATTTCAAATGATGAACATGCTAGTAAAAATCACACACCGTCTTTCCCAACTCGGGTTTATTCAATTTGATGCACTATAAATGTCAGAAGTTAAACAGTGATAATTTTTATTGTCAAAGGTAATTAAGTTTAATTTTGAAATAAATAATATATGTATCACAGTTGCATAAATTTTCTTAATTTGTCAACTCATACACGATGATACACTGCAGTAAGGTTATAGGATTGCAGTCATTTTAATTATTATGTACAGACACAGATGTGTCTGTACATATTGCCATCACCTGCGTCTGTCGTCGCCGTCGCCGATGCCGGCGCCGTGCACTTTCCTTGTAAACATGATAAGTGGAGGGCAGTTTTACTTTTTGGCTTAATATTTACAGAGCTGATGAATATTCATAAAACGCAGGTCAAGTTCGAAAACCAGCATGATCGGGCCATTATTGTAGAAGTTATGCTGTTTTTTCACTTTTCAGCATATATGCAACCCTGTAAACACATTTAAAGGAAAACCGTTAGGCCTGTTGTCATGAAACTCACAGGAGTAATCAATCTTACTAAAATGCAAGTCAAGTTCGAAAATCGGCATGATCGGGCCACTATTTTAGTAGTTATGCTTTTTTTTCATTTTTCAGCATATATGCAACACTGTAAACACAATATAAGAAAAACAGATAGGCCAATTGTCATTTAACTCACAGGATAGGTCAATCTTACTAAAACNACCGCAACGCACATGAAGTCACTCGAGGCTGAGAAAGATCGCGTTCAACTACAGAAAGTATCCATCCACAGCACATGTGAGTTTGCCAAACAGCTTGTTCAACATGGCTCCCACACGGAGGTGATGACACACGCTAAAAATATCCAAGCAAGGATGAAAGAACTGAACAATATCAGACCCACCGTACAGGTAAAAACAATAGAGATCACTTTCAGTAAAGGAAAACTTCCAGTGGACTTCTTTGGTCGTGTGACCATGTTAGAATGGATAGATGAGTTTGAAAGCAGTGTGAACTATGTATGGGACATATCGTGCAGTCAAAGTGGAACAATGTATTTAGTTTCTGTTTTATCGGGTAAACTTACAGCAATATCACCATCTCATGAGGTGATATTTCAGGTTGATGTACCACGTCCTAGAGGTGTCACCGTGCTCAGTGATGACAGACTGGTGGTTACATGTTATGATGGATGCCGAGTGTATTCTTCCTCCGGGAAACATGTCAAAACATTTGGTCAGGGTGACGTGCCTGGTCTCCGGGGTGTTACAGTGGACAACAATGGACACATACTTGTCTGTGACAAGAACGATAAATGTATCTGTGTGTATGACGCTGTGCAGTACAGTCTTATCAATAAGATCAGTGTTCCTATGCGTAATAATCCACAATACATTGCAGTGCTCCCATGTCGTGACACCATTGTGGTGAGTGACATAGGGAGACACTGTGTATATGGAGTAACCCCCCAGGGTGATGTAGTGTTCCAGTATGGTACACCAGGTGAGAGAGGCTCAGGTGATGGATATCTGAACTCCCCCAGTGTAGTGTGTACAGACAGCGTGGGGCACATCTTCATTGCTGACAAATGGAATCACAGGGTGGTTGTTCTGACCTCAGATGGTCAACTGTTGAGATACGTGGTGGGTCCACAACAGGTTTTAAAGCCAGTGGGTGTGACCATTGATAACAAAGGACAGCTTGTAGTGGGGGAGTATGGAGGCAAGGTGAAAACATTTCGCTATGTTCATTAACTACAAGTTAAGTAATATAGCAGACATTACCAAGCAATATCATTTTTAACCGCAAAGGAGAGGAGAATTACTGCGAAACTGTGCATGAACTTTATTTGATGAACACATAATTATGAATATTTTTGAAATAATGACTGTTATATTGGAAGGTGATTATATTGGTTAAAAATCTATTAGTTATACGATAATGTAGGAGTGAGAAATAAAATAATTCATAAAACAGTTTAATTACTAGTTTTTAACTCTTTTTGGCACTTTCACAGTCAAGTTATACCGCTGTATAATAAAGCTACAATTTTTTATTTGAGCAATAATGATGTTTCTTAAAATAGGACAAAGTGCGACAAGTGATTTTACTATCAATAAATCAAATGTTCATGTAACACGATTGCGCGATCTTTTGTATTATTGTAAATAAATGCTTTTAGAAATATCGTCAGTAATACCAGTATTTACTGTGAGACCAGCAGGTATATTGTAACACTTACGTAAGCGCTGGGACATTATGGTTTTACCTCCATCTCACCGCGATATCCACATGAAGGCGGATACAAGTCACTGTTACTGCGTCTCCTCATACACTACACGTGGATTAGCTACTTGGACCTGAGGTCACACTCTTAACTTGAACTCCTAGGTTTTAGACTCTGTCGATGCATTTGTATAGTTCGAAATGCACCCTTGTCACATTTTTTACAAAAGTAAACGAGCAATATTTTATTAATTCTATAATATCCTTCTTTTCTTGTACAAAAATGAGTCTGGAAATATTCGCAAAAAAATTTTAACTTACGATCTTTACGAAATTGAGAGTGCCGTTTCCTTAGAAGTATCACTTTTCTTTCTATTTTCGCGGTAATTTCAAGCCCCTGAAAAATAAATTGTAATTGGTTAGAGTCTAAACCCCAGGAATATCCAAGTGACTTAACAATGTTACATATAACTTAAAATAACTAAAAAGTAAAATTCAAAGTCTGTTTAATAAAAGCCCATTTAATGTCATAAATAATTATAATATAAGAAAAAAAATTGATGGCTTGGCGTTCCGGTATGTTTCATTCATTTATAAATTTTTGCATTTCACAACTAAAAGTTTGAGCATTCGATGACGATCGCGAGATCGTCTTCTTCTTCATAAGTTGCCTTCTCTGTAAGCTTCATACGCGGCCGCGTCCTCTTTCTTCGTTTTTATTTTTCATCGACAGCAAGGTGTCGGTAATTTCCGGTATCAACTGTAAATCTTTATACGTGTGTAACAAATAAATCGCACACACACACACACACACACACACACACACACAGACACACACACACACACACACACACACACGCTCATGACTTGATAAAAGTAACCTGTTCATATAATTTTTTTCTTTTCAACTTTCGATTTCCACCCTGTATAATTAACAAGTTAAAGGTTGTTTCCGCGCTTCCAAGTATTACAGACATTATTAATGGAAGAGACAGGATTGTGCAGGAAGTGACGTGTAGTCACCCTGAGCTTCAGAGATAACTTGACACTAACCTCTTCACTATAGCCTATCNCACACATATATTTATATATATATATATATATATATTTTTTTTTTTTTTTTTTTTTTTTTTTTTTTGGGGGGGGGGTGCATTGTGGGCAGGGAATTCTTTTAGAAATAATAGGTACATGTTTGACATGACAACGTGTTACGAAACCTGAAGAGCCAAAATCGTGTTTAATTTGCAGTCAATTTGTTTTGTCATAATTGCTGTATCGGCCGACAGCGTGACGAAGAGCATCAAGGGAAAAGAATCCATACATTAATTTAACCAGTATATCTTATTATGTTTCCACGTGTTCCGCGTCGGGAATTAAGGTGTATATCAGCCGCGTTCCATCCAACGTGGAAGACAAGACGCGGCAACAGAATGTCGAGTTGATCCTCAGCAGGAAGAAGTTCTATGCCCATGCCAGTACATCGATATCTCTGAAAGTAATGAAGTTAAGGAATTTCTAAGGAGGGAAGAAGGGACTTATATATCGGTCCACAGCTTTTTAACGGCGAGGAATCCTTTGTGACACTGTAAAGACGACAAGACACGCAAATGTGCATGTATAATGTACTTCAACCGCCATTTTGACGAAAACCTCACGACATATTTGAAAAAGAGAAATGTCTGAAGTTGGACGAGCTAACATGATTGTATTATAGGGGTATATACCGGTACATGATAAATAATAAAAAAATAAACAAAATACACGGGGCGTTACCACAAACTATAACTTGCCCTACGAGCATTATACCGGGGTACATATTCACTGTGCTGCGGATTGAAAAAATTAAGAAAATTATTCAATATTTTGCACCCTTACAAGAGAAATATTATTTTGTAATCCAGGCTTAAATTCTTTATGCACCTGACATTTGAATACGCATTTCCTCATATAATGACGCGCGTGTGCGGTTAACCTACAGGTGTATTTCCGCTGCTCGTGTGTGATGTCACCCGTGTTACCAGAAATGACATGCATACCAGACTGCCATTCAGCGATAGCCCATGTGGATTAAGCTAAACAGAGCGGTAGTTTCGTTTGGAATGGGCCATCATTTAATAGATTCAGCACATCCTTTCATGTACAGAATACAATAAACTATCGTTCATCGCCCGTGTTTTACAGTCTCGTAAGAACTGATAGTGTAAAGCGGGTACCCTCTACCAGGGCCACAGATTGATTTTTCATTAGATATTCACATATTTGTCTCTGGCTTATTAATATCACATTTTTACAAATGAACATAATTCATCTACGGCCCTGACAGAGGGTAAAATGCGGGGCCCCTATTCGAGCATGGTCGTCGGCCTGTGTATTGTGTGAAGGGCGCAGATTGTGCTGTACTCGCTGCCCTGGTTCACCTAACGCATTCTGTTGTCTAGGAGCCCCATTTTTAGCATAGACATAAGGCGACGCCTTGTCTTATGATTAGGCCTAATACAAGATGCAGTCACTAGATGGCGGTAACATCTCAGGTCGCGTTTGGACCGATATAACAAGAATGGTAGTCTGCTAGGAACCGTAGTCCATTCTCCATAATGCTAAGGACAAATCTTTTCGGAACAGGAATTTTTTTATACATGAAAATTATCAAACACATGCAGAAATACTTCAGCTTGTGTTTGATAATTTTCATGTATGATCCAACTACCAAGCTGATGAACATCTTTGCTCAGGAAAATTTTAGTTCACAGCTAGTGAAAAGCCAGACAAAACAATCTAGTGTTCTGTTCAAATATCTGTGGACCTGGCGGAGGGTAGAAACCTTGGCGATAAAGGAAAAGTTACCCAATTTTCAAGGTCGGTAATTACCAATATTTATTATTATTTTGTACCTTGAGCTTTTTATTTGATTTATTTAATATTTACTTTATTTTTGTACTTGGTAACATAAAAGTTTTAAGCACATTATGTGGTTTGAGCTCGGTCCTATTCTCTTTACACTATAAACTTCACCCACTGAGGATATATATATTTTGTTTGGATTCAATTTGATGGGGTATGTGGATGATTACTAGATAAATGTTATATTTAAAAATCCTCATGATGAAAAAGCAACTATTGAGACTTGTGTGCATGAATTCAGATTTTGGCACACGACAAACTACTTAGACACCATTACCATAGATTATTGTATTTACTATGGCTCGATCTTTCTCCATGGGGATTCTCGATAAATCGTAATCAGCTAAGGCGGCTTAGATGTTCGTAACGCCTACTGAAACTGCCATGGGGATATTAACTATCGTTTGGCAGCTTCAGTATGCGTGCCAGACATCTAAGCCGCTTAAGCTGAAAGAAATTTAGCAAGAAACCTCCGGACATGGATCGGACCTATTTGATCGATCTTGGTATGGGAACCCAGTCAAACACCAAGTTTTCCAGAGACAGCACTACACAGTATCAGAGTTGAAGATATGTTATCACCACAAGCGTTAGAACCAGGGTGTAATTCTCAACAATAAATGTGACATATGACATCACACATTAACAAAGTATGTAAATCACCATATTTCAGTTGGCAACTAATGTCTAAGATTCTTCACCTTATTAACAGCAAGTAAACAGAGCTATTCATTCATGCATTTGTGGCTTCTAAACATGATTACTGCATCACCCTGTTGTTGTTCGGAATGCCTAACTATCAAATGGGGAAAAATCAGTCTATATAGAATTCAGCAGCTCGTTTCTACTGATAAAAAATATGTATATAAGACGTTCAGATTTAAAACTTGGGAGTTCAGATTGAGATACTGAGGGAGCCCGCTCTGGGGAGCTAGGAGACGGGAGGGAGTCATGGGTGATGGTTGAGAAGTTACAGACTTCACGTAAATGATGTAGTTAAAGAGTGTCAACAAATAAACCATTTAACTGGTCATTATGTGTCCTTGGGTTTTCTTTGAGCGACTTTACGTAAAGCTGGCACGAACCATAGAATCGCAGATTGCGTTCTGAGCCTATATAAAAGTTAAAATACCTTAAGTATATAAAAGGGTTTCATTACATATTTCTTACCAGTGTCGCAATATTTGGCGGTACATATTAATTTTCATTATTCAAATTGCACACGTCCACTTACGTTATATAATTACAGGTAAGGCCATAAAACGAGTCGAGTGCACAAGCAAGTGACTCCAATCAAATTAATTAACAAGTGTGGGGATTTTATTTGTGAACTGTACAAAGCGATAGTTTAGAGTTACGGGACCCAGTTCTGCTATCTCTTGTAACAAGTGCCTCGTGATGGGACGAGTGAGGTCTGTTCTCACGTACAGGTACACCCAAGTCTACAGTTAGTGCAGACTTAAAGAACTATAGTTTGAAAGTATTTGGGAAGTTCCAAAACCCCGTAAAATAACATGTTAGACATTAGTAGTGGCGGGCGGGTAAGGTAATAACTGCTTAATCATTGACATTCTCCTGTCTTTGTATTGAGCGGTAAACAACATGCCCTTGAACAAAATGTTATCAG